ATTTATGTCTGTGAGATTTAGACACACACACAAACCCATACACACACACACACACACACCCCTATTTGTGTCTGTGAGATTTACACACACACACACACACACACACACACACACACACCCTAAAAGCCCTGAGAGGATGGACCCCTTAGGAACTGAGCCTTTATTGATCTGTTATATATATTTCCATACCACGTAAAACTAAGTTTGATAAATTCTCTCCATTCTTCAGTCTCACTTTCATTTGTATCTTAAGTCTCTCCTCAGTATAAAAATATGTAAGAGGTTAGAATGACTCACTGCATAATAGAACTGAATGAAGTGATGGATCATAGTTGCACTGAATTAAAAAATTGGTTTTGTGGAAATTTTGCTTTGGTTAAAGTAGGGGTGGGAATTTTAGTACTTTAGTCACTTACTATCTGAAAGGCATACTTTGGAGCAAGATAATATAATTTCAGGTGCTAAATCTTGCTGAAAACAATATTATCTTCTTAAAAGAAAACTCTTTCCTACTGAAAAAAATAAAAGAATTCCTAGATTTTATAAATTAGAAAATTCATTTTAAATCATTCCAAATCAAAATGTTGTTTTGATTTAAAACATTCCACTTCCTCCATACCATTAAGAGTGGGTAAAAAAGCTTAAAGGGTTGCAAAAGTGCCTATTGCTAGTACTTATCATTACTTCGCATGATTCACAAATTGATTTTCTGGCTTTATATCTATAAGAGACAGTGGGCTTTTTAATGCCATAATTTCTCATAAGTTGATGAGTACAGGGATGATGAATGACTTTTCCTCCCACAGTCTCTAAGTGGACTCTTTGAAAGAATGTTGTTGTTTTGAAGTTATCTTTATTTTAATTTTATTTTACTCTCCATTGCTTTGCAGTTTTCTGGAAATTACATTCTTTCCTTATCAGTTAGTAAGCCTTATGGATTCCTTTTGTTCCTTTCATTGATGTAGGTTATTTTTAGTAATTGGAGTTAGAGAATGAGACAGAGAGGTACCTTGTGGTAGCCTATATCCAAAGAATAGACAGGCAGGTCATTTTAATTTCATAATGTGGCTACAAATTATTGAATAGGAAGGATGTTATAAAAATATGAATGAGAGAAGGTAGAAATTATATCCTCAAAAATAAGTCCAGCATAAAAAATTGCAATGCCTCAGCTTCTTTTCTCCATTCTCAGGGTGCAATATCTTGTAGGAACTTACATTAGTTAAAAAAGCAAGTTTTCAGACAGGGTCACAATGCAAAAATGTGTGTATTTAGTATTTCTCTCTCTGTAGTATTCCTCCATTTATTGAAGGACAACTCATTGGATCCCTTCAGCTATTCATAGCTCTTTAATTCTTCATTGTGGGTTTCCCTGATGGTGCAAGGGGTTAAACACCGCACTATGAAGCAGTCTGTAGCCTCTGCAGCATGAGTTCAATCCCCGGCCAGCTAGGGAGCAACCCACATGGCGAGGGAGACCTCTCCTGACTTGCCCTCTGCTCCCCTCAGCAGAGTACTTCAGTCAGTCTGCCTGTTTTGTTCCCCACTCTGTCTCTGGTGGGTCCTCTCACCCCCCCAGGCTCTGGCCTGTACCCCAGTTCTTGTATGCATTAATAAATGAATCTTTAAAAAAAATTCTTCCTGGTCCCTAACTCTACTCTCAGGAAACATAGGGCCGATGCTACTCTCTTCAGAGGTACTTGTCTTTGACAGGAGATGAACACAGGGCTAAGGGGACACAGGGTTGAGTTGATTTTACTTTTCAGTGTCTTTTACAAATATTTGTGCAGGATCAGTACAGGATATCTGAGGAGTTCACAAGCATACAAAACTCTGTATGCTCTGTGTTATCACCCTGCAGCTCTCATCCATTAGTTCATTTATTTAATATGTAATTTACATATGGTAAAATTCATTATTTTTAGTGTAAAGTTTTCTGAGTTATTCATCATATTTTTTTAATGAAGTATGTTGGTTTATGACATTGTGTATGATTCAGAAGTAGAGGTGGGTGCACATCTCTTCAGGATGCATGTTACTATATAAGACCCACCACAGAAGCACGCAGAATCCTATACCATAGTCCACTGGGTTCATTCTCAACTTCAGGCAGCCTTAATCTTACAGTCATACTTCTAGGGTTTGTTTGTCCTTTCCTTTATCTTCCTATTGTCCACATATGAATGAAATCAACCTGTTTGTTTGTCTTTCTCCTTCTGACTTATTTTGTTTTATAGTATTCTTTCTAGTTCCATCTATGTTGTCACAAATGACGAGAATTCATCTTTTTTTATAACTTAGTATCCTATTGTGTATATATACAACATATTACTTTACTCAGCTGTCATTGGACGCATAGGTTGTTTAGCTTTTATAAATAGTTCTGCAATGAACATAGACATGGCATATATCCCTTTGAATTAGTGGTTTTCCATCCTTTGGTAGATACCCAGGAATGGAATTGCTGCATCATATGGTAGAACTATTTTCAATATTTTGAGAAACCTAACTTTTCTGTAGGGGCTGGGCCAAACTGCATTCCTGCCTGTAATGTACAAAGGTTCTTTTTTCTGTACGTCCTAACCAACACTTGTTTCTGGTCTTTTATATGAACCACCACCACAAATAATACAGATGAACTACTATAATTCCAAAAAGTTTCCTTCTCTGTTGTACTCAATTACTTCCCCCACCCCTAACTACTGGCAACCAGTAATGTATTTGCTTTCCTCCTGATTTTGCCTTTTTCCAGAATGGTATTAAATGAAATCATACAATGTATAGCCTTTGGGATCTATTTTTATTATCATAATGTTTCAGGATCATCCATTTTGAAATGGGTATTAATAGCTTGATTCCTTTTATCATTATCATTTATCAGTACATATGTGGATGTGCTGCTGTTTGCATCACATTCACTTATTGAAGAATATTGGACTGTGTTTTTTCATTGGTGATTATAGACAATCTCATAATAGACATTTACATACAGGTTTTTGTATTAATAGGAATTTTCATCCTTGGGTAAATACTTAACAATAGGGTTCTCTCTCACTTTAATGCTATTTGTCTCTTCTTTTAGAATATATATTTTTATGTTTATTCTTTTGTGACTATATCTCAAGTGCTAAAACACCATTAAAGCTGAGTATATTAATAAAATCGAGGTTCTAAACTTGTGAAGATGAAAACCCTAGGGTAAAATCTGTATGGTCTATGTATATTATCCTTTCATGTAAACTTTTCTATCCTATTTATTAATGTATATTTTAGAACAGCTTTATTGTGATATAATTCACATGCAAAATTCACCTCTTTAAAAGTGTGCACTTCAGTGGGTTATTTTGTATATTGACAGATCCTTATTATTACAGCTTTCTAAATTTAGAAATTTTTATCACTCCCCAAAAGAAGTCACTCATTTCCCTGTCTGCCTGTATGTTATGCCAGTCACTTCCCATTTCCCTCTCTTCCCAGTTCCTGGAAACCAGTAATCCTCTTTTTGTCTCTAAGGAGTTACGTATTTGGATATTTTATGTAAGTGGATTCATACAGCATGTGATGTTTTATGACTGATTCTCACACTTAACATTTTCAGAGTTGATCTATACCACTGTACATTTATTGCAGTGTATAGTGGTACTTCATTCCTATTATCAAATAATGTGGATATACTACTTACTCTTAATTCATCAATTGATGAAAATTTTGGTGTTTTCTATTGTTGGGCTATTGTGAATAATGCTATCATGAACATTTGTAAGTTTCTGTGCAGGCATATGCTTTAATTTCCTTTGGTTATGTTCCTAGGAGAGTAATAACTGGATCATATGGCTACATTAACATGCTAAAATGTTTTCCAGAGTGACTGACTGTACTGTTTTATGTTACCACTGGCAAAGAGTGAAAGTTCCAATTTCTCCACATTCTCACTAACATTTATTAGTCTATTGCTTTTATTTTACTAGATGTGAATGGTATGTCATGGTTTTCATTTGCATTTCCCAAAAGACTAACACTTTTGACCATCTTTTCATATAGTTAACTTTTTGTATATTTGCTGTGAAGAAGAATCCATTCAAGTCTTTTTTTCCCTTTTCAAATTGGGTTAGTTGTAGATTTGTAAAGTTTTATTGTAGATTTGTAAAGTTTCATGTTATATTCAGAATACATGTCCTGCAGCAGCCCTTCTACCCACTTGTGATTATGCAGGTGTTTTTCTTCACATGCATAATTCACCTATTTAGTGTGCAATTCAGTGGGTTATTTTGTATATTGACAGATCCATATTATTACAGCTCTCTAAATTTTTTAAAATTATTTAAAAAAATAAACTCTCTAAATTATTTAAAAAATAAACAATAGAACTACCAGAAGATCAGGTAGTACTACTTCTGGGTAAATGTCAAAGTAAATGAAAACAGAATTTCAAAGAGTTATCTATACTCCCATGTTTACTGAGGCAGTATTCACAATAACCAATAAATGGAAATAATGTAAGTGTCCATAAATGACAAGGACAATGTAAAAGTCTATGTGTGTTTATGTGTTTGTGAGAAAACTTGTTCCTTTCAGGGCCACCTTTTTCTGCCTGCAGATGTCTATGCAAATGTCCTTTATTCTTTCCCCCTTTTTATAATAAAACTGCCCTTTTGGATATAAAAAGGAAAAAAGACTACAAGTCCTCGGTAGATGTATGGTTTGAAAACATTTTACTGTTTTTTATTTCTACTGTTTCATTTATTTCCACTCTAATTTTTAAATATTTTCTTTCTTTCACATGCTTTAGATTTATCTGCTCTTCCTTTTTAATTTTTTATAATGTGAAAGGTTAATTTATTTGAGAGCATTCTTTTTAATTTAGGTACCTACAGCTATAAATTATAAACTATAAACTATAAAAATATAGTCATTAAGCTATCTATTAGCTCCTCAAGACTTACTTATAACTATAATTTGTACAGTTTGACAAATACCACCCTATTTTTCCCACTCACTAGGCTCCGTCAGCCATCAAGCTGCTCTGTTTCTATGATTGAGAGTTTTAGATTCCAAATGTAAGTAAGATGATACCATTTTTCTTTTTCTCTGTCACCTTTTTCATATAACAGTGTCCTTGAGGTTCATCTATGTTGTCACAATAGCAGGATTTACCCCTCTCCTATGGCTGAACCATATTCCACAGCATGTGTGTATGTTTGTGTGTGTGTGTGTGTGTGTGTGTGTGTGTAACATGCATCTCACAAACACATAAATACACATAGACTTTTACATTGTCCTTGTCATTTATGGACACTTAACATTATTTCCATTTATTGGCTATTGTGAATACTGCTTCAGCGAATGTGGGAGTAATTTCTCTTTGAATTTCTGTTTTCATTTGCTTTGACATCTACCCAAACGTAGTACTATTGGATCTTCTGGTAGTTCTTTCGTTTATTTTTTAACGAACTTCCATACTGTTTTCCATACTGACTCCACCAATTAACATTCCCAACAGTGTTAATTACAAGATTTCCTTTTTCTCCACATTCACATTAGTACTTGTTATCTCCTGACTTTTGGAAAATAAACATTTTACAGGTATGAAGTGATACTCATTGTATTTTTGATTTTTTGCATGATAATAAGAAATGATGAACATCTTTTCATCTACTCATTGGTCTTTTTGCTTCTCTTTTTTTGGATAAATGTCTATTCAGTTGCTTTGCCCTTTTTTAAATTGATTTTTTTTTTGTTTTTGTTTACTGCTGAGTTGTATGAATTCTTTAAATATTTGGGATATTAACCTATTATCAGATATATGAATTGCATATATTTTTTTCATTTTGTAGTTTGCCTTTTCATTTTGCTATTTCTTTTACTGTGTAAAAGCTTTTTAACTTGGCATAGTCCCACTTGTTGTTTGCTTTTTGTTCTTTGTGCTATAGGTATCATATCCAGAAAAATCATTTCAAAGATCAATTTCAAAAGGACTTTTCTTTAGGACTTTTGTAGTTGTCTTACATTTAAGTTTTAATCCATTTTCAGTTAGTTTATGTAAGTGGCATAAGATAGGGTCTAGTTTCAATCTTTTCTGTATGGATAGTCAGTTTCCCCAAAACTATTTATTATTGAAGAGAGACTATCTTTTCTCCACCAAGGATTCAGCTTTCAGTTTTTCACTTAAGTGTGTTAGTTATGAGAAGTTGTTTGTTACCTTTATTATGTTGAGTTTTATTCTTTACCCACTTTGTTGAGTTTTTATCATGAAAGTATGTTGAATTTTGGCTTGGTAGTTTTACTATGACAAATAAATGTTGTATGGGGATCCAAATGGTAATTTAGAAACTTAAAATCCAGATATTTAGTAACTTGGGTTTTGCACTTAGAGATTTTCATATTTTGAGATTCAAATTTAACTATAAATTCCCTTTTTAACTTTTAACATATCTAATTTAAATTTAGTTACCATTAAACACTAATTTATGAGGGCTTTTAATCCCACTTACTGTTTGTTTTGATTAGAGATATTCAAATAATTATATTCATAAAATTCAAAGACAGCTGATTTCATTTTAATGAACATTATCAATATGGCATTTCATAATTAAAAAATCCTCCTTGTTTTTTAAAATGAAGATATAATTCTTTCTCTGTTGTTTTAATTTTAATTTGGGGCCATAAAAGTAATTTTAAATGGGAAGTTATTCTACTAACAAAACATTTGTGTTTAATACCTTTTGTGTATTAATCTCCTCACCCTGCGTAGAACAAAAACATTATCAACTTTGATTTTAATTTCCTCATAGCTATAACAATTCACCTCATAGCTATAATTATTTGGAAGTCAAAGGAAAATCTGATAATTTGTGAAGGGAAATCCCTATGGTTATTGACTTGTAGGAAATAGAATCAAATGGGGGTTGATCAAATGAAGAAGCTGTGAGTAATGGTGAGAGTGTATGTTTCATTGCAGAGGGAAAGGAGGGTCAAGGAGAAGCAATTGTTCAAAGACAGTTTCTAAATAAGCTGACTTTCATGTTGGAATTGATTAACTTCTAAGTATCATGCTTTTAAAAATTATAAATTCTAAGAATTATATCTACATAATATTCCTAGCTATAAAATCGATTGAGGAATGGGAGCTCAGACTTTATAATCATAGATGAAGCAGGATTTCTGGAGGGGGTGAGTAGCTTGGTTCTGCAGACATCGGCTCCTTCTCTAGGAATTATTTGCTTGCTCTAGGGAAGGAGTCACTGGTATTAGAACATTCCTGGGCCATGTGATACCATTGTCCCTTACCTGCCCTGACCATGATCCCAGAGGAACTCTTAGATTGAAGTCTCATGAAGTCCTTAAGAGGTGGACTCCCCTGTATTCCAGATTACTTTCATTTTATCAATCAGTGATATTGACCAAGACTCTTGTATCAAGCGATTAAACTCCCAAGGTGCCTTTGTGGATGAGTAATATGAATTATTGGGAGTCAAGTAAGAGACAAAATTCAGATGAAAGCTGTAGGTCTAAAAGAGGTAATGAGGGTCTGAAATGTACCAAATTAAAGTAAGTTAAAGGAACTATCAACTGGGAGATTGATTACCACTTTCTATTTGTCTTTCAAAGGCAGGTCATTAAGAACTTGTAATGAGAAAAGTTTATTTGAAGGGGATGAAGAGAAAGTTCAGAAATAATTCTGACTCTGATGACATCTTTGAGAAGGGCATATAAGACAAATGGCTGTAATATAAAGGCTAGGTTTAGTTTTAGAGATTTTGACTTTTCACCATATGCCTGGCAAACCGGTAGAGCAGAAATAGAGACTTATATACAAGAGACTGCTTAGATTCCAAAGGAAAGAACTGTTTTCACTTCTAGAATTCAGACATATGAGAGTAGGATGGGGGTGATGTAGCTTGAATGGGTCCTCTGTGGTTCTATGAAGAAAGAGCTCAAAAAGAATTTACCCTATGGAAAGCATGGACCATGTATACTGGTTTATATCAGAAGTTTAGTGGATAAAGAGAAGGGGAAATTCTGAGTACATACAAGTATTGACCATTCATATTTGTCTCCTGGTCCACTATCCATTGGAATTATGTTTGACTCCAGGTAGCAGCTTTTTTTTTTTTTTAAAGATTTATTTTTTTATTTATACAAGCAGTGGGTACAGTCAGAAGTGCGGGAGGGTGAGAGAATTCACCAGAGCCAGAGCGGAGAACAGAACAGGCAGACCGACAAAGTACACTGCTGAGGGGAGCAGCAGGTGTGGCAGGAGAGGTCTGTTGCGCCATGTGGGACCCTCGCCCGGCGGCCTGGATCGAACCGGCATTGCAGAGGCTGTGAGCAGCCCAGTGCTCAACCGCTCCGCCACTAGGGAGGCCCTCTAGGTAGCATCTTGGTTAAGAAATACAGCAGATTCTCTTCCAGGTTGCCTTTCTTTAGACTAAGGCTTTCATGCTAGTAAAAGAACATTTTAACAAATGGGAGACATACATTGTTTCATTTAATCATCACCATGAACTTGAAAGGAAGTTAATAGTATATTAAATCTCAGAGCTTCTATTTTCCCCCTTCTTATTTTAGAAGGGGGAAAATAGAAGCTCTGAGATTTGATATTAATTTTCAAATTAAAATAGTAAACATTGAACCTGAATTTGAATCTGATTCTTTGTTCTATCCTGTAAGTGACCCTACAGGTCCTCAAGTAATGGAATAAATATACAGACAAGAAAATAGTCTAACTATAGAGACTTAAAGTCTTAAAAACAATAATAGCAATGAAACATTTCTTTGTTGCATATGTAATTTGGGTTGAGCAAGTTGAATATTTCAGAAAAAAAAAAAACAAACAGCAGTTAAAGCTACAAAATAAATAGGTAGGTTTAGGGACCAAAGAGAAGTAATGAAAATCTAGGCGAAGAGAGTCCACACTAAGAAAAAACTGGTTTTGGGTCTTTCTGTGAGATAGACAAATCCCTTTCTCTGAACTGATGAAGCCATTCTTCACCCTCCTTTTCCTTTCTGCTACTCCCTTCAGTAAGTTTATTTTCTGGTGAAAAAACCTAAATAACCCCAAATGTTTTGCTTTTTTTGCCTACCAATCCTAAGAAAGGGACAGACCCAAAGGACTTAATTGAAAACAAGTCAGTCCCTTACACTTTGATCCATTAATATGGCTAAGATGCCATTAGCATTTAAAACCATATCTGCTTCGCATTTATTTTTCCAATTAATCTTACAATTTTTTCCCCCTTGAATCAGCTCAGCCCTAATGCATAGTCATCAAGAAACAACAGTTTCTATTGCTATGAGCTGGATCTATGGTATTATATGGGTAGCTAGCCTCCTTCATTTTGGCTATGATACTACATATTTTTCTTCCAAGTTCTAAAAACTGTTTTTAATTAAAATGTCATATTTTTTTGGTAACTGCATGTAATTTTGATATCTTACTTATAGCTTTAGGGATATATTTTGAGGACATTTTCTGAACAAGTGTTCTCAATCTTTGAGAATACGAAGACAATCATTTGAAATATATATTAGAGAAATTGTCACTATTCAAATGTTTTGCATAATTTTCCCCAATTTTTGCATTAAATTTTTCATTCTTTTTGTGTTTCCTCACAAGTGCATCTCAAATTCAATAGACTGTTATTTAGCGTCCTCAGTGAAAAATTAATAATAGCTATTGTCTTAATTTTTCCTCATAGGTATTAAACATCTATGGCTTAAAGAAAACAATACTTATACTTTCAAAAATTTAATTCTTTAATGTTGACTGCTGTTCAGTAGAGAATATAGAAAAAGTGTATGGTTATAGTTTTATGCAAAATGCTTTTGTCTCTTTAGTCTTTAGATCAGTGTTAGATATTGACTGTTAGAATAAAACAAAAAAATCAGTCTTCCAGTCACTACTTGTTCCTTTTTCCTCCTTAGTCCCTAGAAAATAGAATTTTTTTTGCTTTTACTTACTTTCTGTTATAAACTACTGTTTATTACAAATAACATTCTTTGTGAAAATTACTAGCAATACCATATTTTGTTTTAGACCATTATATAGTAACTCCCT